GCTCCCCGCGTGCACGTGCGGTGCCGGGGGCGCGCAGACCCCGGGCGGGCGCAGCCGGAGACCCTGCCCCAGGCCCTGCGCTCCCGCCCGCTCCCCGGCCTCCGCGGTGCCCGCTCGCCACCCGCACCCGCAGACACTCGGCTGAGTCACTGGCCGGCGCCCTCCGCAGCGCGCTCCGGCCGGCTGGGGTGGGGGGCAGGTGGCTCGGGGGAGGCTCGGATTCCTAGGACACACCTTTCGGTTCAGGGGCTCCGCCTGTCCCTTCCCTTCACCGCTGCTCTGCCCTTGGGCAGACACCTGAGGCTGAAGCTGGTACCAAACAGCCCCCTCCTCCCCCTCCTCCCCCTTCTCCTCCACCGTCCTCCTTCTCCTCCTCCTCCTCCTCCTCCCCCTACTCATCGACTGCCACCTCTTCCTCCCCTTAGCCCTCCTTCTCCTTCTTTTCCTCTTCCCCACATGCAGGTGGGTCTCCTGTTTTCTCATATTACCTTGGCTATGCCTCCACCCATCACAGCTGGGTTTTATTTTGCAATACTTTTGTCTCCCATATCTTAAATCACTGACTCCCCCTCCCCCTCCTCCTCCTCCTCCTCCTCCACCATCATCACTACCACCATCATCACCACCACCACCGTTACCTCTTCCTCTCTGAATCCATCCTCACGTCTCCACAGCCCTCCCTTCTGCCTTCTCACCCCTGAGAACGCCCTTGTTCAACCAGCTCAACCAGCTGAGTCCCCAGCACCACTTGTCCTTTGGGGCCAGTTTCCCCTGAGGCTGCTGCCTCAGGCCTCTCTCCGGGCTGGGTCCTGCTTTGTGGACCTGGGTACCAAGGTTCTCAATACTTGTCTAGGGCAACCAGGACATAAGAGCGTTAGGGACAGGAGTCCTGGGTGAGGAGCAGGCTGGGGGGCATGGATGCCACTCCTGGTTCTTCCTGCCCCAACCCCTGGGAGGGTAAGGACATCCAGAGGAGGCATGGGCCAGCTTGGGTATCTGAGGGCCCTTGGGATTTTCCAGGGTGGGGCCCAGAGAGGGTGGGGACTTAGAGAGAAGAGACTGCACAACCCAAACCCTGGGACCCCATGAACAACTCCCATGTTCCTCCTTGAATACTTCAGGTGCACTGGAAACCCAGGGCTGTCTGGAGTCAGGTTGGGCTCTCGTCATCTCCATGGTTTGGCAGGATTCCTGTGGCTCTGGCTGATAGCCAGGGTTGAGTACATCCTCTGTCCCTGTCGCCTTGGGCTGGCTGGTATAGGGTCTGAAGGAGCAGGCCTGTGGCTCTAGCCAT